CAGTATACTAATGCATATATATGGAATTTAGAAAGATGGTAATGATAACCCTACATGCAAAACAGAAAAAGAGACACAGATGTACAGAACAGACTTTTGGACCCTGTGGGAGAAGGTGAGGGTGGGATATTCTGAGAGAATAGCATTGAAACAAGTATAATATCAAGGGTGAAACAGATCAGCAGCCCAGGTTGGATGCATGAGACAAGTGCTCGGGGCTGGTGCATTGGGAAGACCCAGAAGGATCGGATGGGGAGGGAGGCGGGAGGGGGGATCGGATGGGGAACCCATGTAAATCCATGGCTGATTCATGTCAATGTATGGCAAAAAACACTACAATATACAGTATTTTACAAATACTTTACAAAGTAATTAGCCTCCAACTAATAAAAATAAATGAAAAAACAAAACAAAATAAAAATCAGCAAACCCTATAGAAGGAGAACCTTTTTTCCAGAGTTACCACATTTTAGGTTCAAAGGTCCAGTTTTCAAAAAGAAAAAAAAAATCTGAGAATATTAAAAATTACAAAAGCCCAATCAAAGAAAAAAACCAACATGGGAATGCAAAATGATACAGGTACTCTGGAAGGCAGTTTGATAGTTTCTTACAAAGCTAAACTATTACAATATGATCCAGCAAAAGTGTTCTTCATTATTTATCCAAAGTAGTTAAAAAACCTGTGTCTATAAAAAACTTAAACACAGATGCTCATAACAGCTTTATTTGTAACTGCCAAACCTTAGAAGCAATCAAAATTTCCTTCAGTAGGTGAATGGATAAACAAACTTATATCTAGACAGTGGAACATTATTTAGCATTAAAAAAAAAAATCAGCAACCAAGTTATGAAAAAACACAGAGGAACCATAAATACATATTATAAGGGAAAGAAGACAATCTGAGAAAGCTACAAAGTATGTGATTCCAACTGTGATACTCTGGAAAAGGCAAAACTATGAAAGTAAAAGTCAGTGATTGCTAAGAGTTAGGGTGTGAGGGGGATGAATAAGAGGAGCATAAAGTATTTTTAGGAAAGTGAAAATACTCTATATAATACTACAAGAGTGGATGCACATCAATATACATTTGTTCAAATCAACAGAATAAACCCTAATGTACAATATGTATACTTGCAATAAACTATCAATGTAGTGGCAAAAAGAAATTTTCACAAATTGAGATATGGGAAGTCATTCTGGCTCACACCTAAGATAACACAAATTTAATGCTAATTAAACCAGCTGGTTTGTGGCCTATCAAACATACATTCTACACCTGCTCTAATTATTAAAGAAAAGGACACAATGACCAGAATAATGTCCATGGTAAGAATAAAGATTAAATCCCTGCTCCCTTCCTGGGATGCCAAACCTGGCATTCCTTCGATGATAAAAGACTCTTTTCCCAGGTGTCAAGGCCACAGGGACTTGCTGTGTACATGCTCATCTCTTTTTTAGAAATCTAGAAGGAAATCTATTCATGACTTGTTTGATGGATCTTTGTTCTGACAAGATATAAAACTGTGTTGAAAAGCATGCTTTTCTGGAGCAGTTCCTCAGTTATCTGAGAATCTGTCTTCCAGGCTAACTGTCCTCACTTTGGCTTAAATAAAACTCGTTTCTTTTTTCCTATTATGGACTGCTTAATGATTATTTTTGTCAACAGCAGGTTCATCACCTAAAACAAATACACAAATTAATTTTCTTGTGAACCTAAAAATGCTGTAAAAAAAGTCTACTTTAGAAAAATGAAACAACCAGATGATGAACCTTAATAGACTAAAACAATTTTCCTAAAGATACTCAAATAACTAAAGAAAGACATGAAAATAGTCAAGAAAACAGTATATGAAGAGAATGAAAATACCAATAAAAAAACAGAAAGCCTTAAAACAAACCAAAAGTAAATTATGGAGATGAGAAATACAATAACCAAAATTAAAAGTTCAGTAGAGGAATTCAAAGGCAGATTTGAGCAGAAAGAAAAGTGAATAAGGGAACTTGAAGATAAAACAACTGAAATTACTAAGTCTCAAGGGGAAAAAAAAATGGAGAAAAGGAAACAAAACCTAAGGAACCTATGAAACATCATAAAGCAGACCAAAAAGGCACTGTAGGAATTCCAGAAAGTAAAAAGAGATAAAGAGAGATCATTTGAAGAATAACCAAAAAGTTCCCAAATTTGATGAAAAACACAAATATCCAAGAAACTCCAAGTAGGATGAACTGAAAGAGACCCATACTGGGACACATTACAATCAAACTGTTGAAAGACCAAGAGAGAAACTTGAAAGAAGCAAGAGAGAAGTGACTTGTCACATACAAGGAATCCTCAATAGGAGTATCAGCAGATTTCTTAGCAGAGACTTTGCAGATCCGAAAGCAGTAGTCTTATCTATTCAAACTACAGAAAGAAAAACCTATCAACCATTAATTTGATACTCCCTCATAGCTCAGTCAGTAAAGAATCTGCCTGCAATGGAGGAGACTCAGGTTCAATTCCTGGGTTGGGAAGGTTCCCTGGAGAAAGAAATGGAAACCTACTCTAGTATTCTTGCCTGGAGAATCCCATGGACAGAGGAGCCTGGCAGGCTACAGTCCATAGGGTTGCAAGAGTCGGACACAACTTAGCAACTAAACCACCACCAAAATTCTCCTTCAAAAATGAGAGAGAAATTAAGACATTTATAGATAAAAGCTGAAGGAGTTTGTTAGCACCAAACTTGTCCTTTAAGAAATACTAAAAGAAATCCTACAGTTGAAATGAAAGAATGCCAGATAGTTACTCATTACGTTACTCATTAAGCTGTATTAAAAAAATAAAGATCTCAGTAAAGGTAAATATGGGGCTTCCCTGAGAGCTCAGCTGGTAAAGAATCCACCTGCAATGCAGGAGACCCCGGTTGATTCCTGGGTTGGGAAGATCCCCTGGAGAAGGGAAAGACTACCCACTCTAGTATTCTGGCATAGAGAATTCCATGAACTATATAGTATACATGGTCACAAACAGTCAGACACGACTGAGGAACTTTCACAAGTAAATATATGGGTGATTATAAAAGCTAGTACTATTCTAACTTTGGGCTTTTTCCTCCAAATTTTGTTTTCTACAGAATTCTAGAGACTAATGCATAAAATTATTAATTTTTTTGGACACATAATGTATATAAAAGTTATCTTGTGACACTAGTAACTGAAACTGAGTGGGGACAGAGCCATCTAGAAACAGAGTGTGTTATTGAAATTGACTTTGTATAAATTTGAGTTAGTGTGTAACTTTAGGATATTAAATGTAATCCCCATGGTAACCACAAAAAAACAGCTACAGAATATACAGAAAAGGAAATAAGGAAAGTAAAACTTTTCACTGCAAAAAATAAACACAAAAGACAGTAATGTAGGAAAATCAGCAAAAAGACATACAATGAAAACTAAAAAATATTGCTGAAAGAACTTAAAATAAATGAAAAGATCCCACATTCATGGATTAAAAGACTTATTATTAAGATGTCATTACTTCTGAAAGTGATCTACAGACTCAATGCAATCCCTAACAAACCATGGAGATACAAATTAAAATCATGATTAAGGCCACTATATATCCAAGAGACTAGCAAAAATTTTAAAGTGTAAGAATACCAAATTGATAGTGATGGGAAGGTAACTTGGAGTAATCATTCTGGTAAAAAGGATAACATTAACATCAAGTATACTCTATGACCCTGGGAAGCCCTGGTGGCTCAGCAGTCAAGGATCTGGGTGCTAATGCAGGAGACACAGGTTGAAACCCTGGGTCAGAAACATCCCCTAGAGAAGGAAATGGCAACTCACTCCAGTATTCCTGCCTGGGAAATTCCATAGACTGAGGAGCCTGGCAAGTTACAGTCCACAGGGTCACAAATAGTCAGACATGACTTAGTAATTAAACAACAACAAATGACCCAGAAATTCCATTCTAACCATACACTTTAGAAATATTAAAGTTTATGTATATCAAATAATAAATGTTCAAAGCAAAATTATTTGCAATTGCCAAAAATGGAAATACCCAAGAGTCCATGAGGAACAGACTGAGTAAATAATTATAGATGCATGCAGTTGAGGAAAACATAGCAGTAAGACCTAACGATGGAGAACCATGGCTATACATAGGCGGATAATCATACACATGATGTTAAAAAAAGAAAGAAAAGAAAGTCACCAAAGGCTACGTGCAGCATAATTCTGTGTATCTGAATTAACTGCTGGAAAACTAAATTATATTATATAGAGATATATACTAGCTGGAAAAAAAATTAAGCTAAGTGGTCAAAACCAAGTTAGTCAAGCAAAGGCTATTTTGCCTCTGGGGACCAAAGGTGAAGCTCAATTACAAAGCTCAGACTCCCATTTACTCCCAAGAACTGGGGATGGGGAAATCAGTATTCCAGTTCAACTTTCACCACTGATTAATCTTATGTCTTAAGTAATTAATTGGTCAATTTGTTCATTCTTTAAAGAAAAAGGTGGACAAGCAAAAGAAAAAAAGACTATAACTTGAAGTGTAATGTCACATGGAACGGCACTGTTAAAAAAGGAATGACCCACAGATATTACCATAGCAAAAGTGGAAGAATCTACAATGTTACCCTGCATGCTACTGGCATAATATAAACAAACAAGTCAAGGGCAAAATCCTTCTTGCCAAGAGAATTAATGTATACATCGAGCAAAAAGCACCCTAAGAGCCAAGACAGTTTCCTAAATCATGTGAATAAAAATGATCAGGGGGAAAAAAAGGAAGCCAAATAAAAAAAAAGGGTACTCAAGTTCATCTGAAATGCTACCAAAGAAGCACACTTTGTGAGAACCAGTGGAAAGGAGCCAGAGCTGCTGGAAGTCATTCCCTATGAATTCATGGTATAATAATAGTAATAATTAAAAGACCCCTGGATTGTTTAAAAAAAAAAACTTAATAATTGGGTTATAGATCAAAATACTCTTTTCTATAACCGCTTACCTTCCACAAGCAATCTGAGTGACAATGCTTCCCATAAGCTCAAAAACTTTCCTTGGGTTTATTTCATGACTGGTAGAGTTATGACCCAACTGACCATACCCTCCAGCTCCGAAAGTAAACACTCCACCTTCCTAAAAAGAAGACAAAATCCTTTGTGATTAGAAAGCCTGATAAAAGGAAATAATCTTCAGGAAATTAAGTTAATCTTTAATATAACTATGGAGTCAATTTTCTTTTCTATTGTCTTCTTAATTTAATGGATGATAAGATAGCTAACTTTTCAAGGCAATACATCTTAAAACTAAAAGTTTTAGATTGATACTGCTGATTATTTTCACATATTTAGAAGTATTTATGGTCATCATCAAACCAATGATGACAATAATGATGACAAAGTCATCATTAAATCAATACTATTTTTGCACTGCCTTTTACTATCCTTATAGTCTTATCAAATCACATAAAACTGCATAAAACCTAAAAATGGTATCATTTTCAGTTTCCAAAGTAGCTCTGCAAAGGAAAAAAAAAACATGTGTAAACAGAGCACACAAATATACCTACTCTTAGCATACTGTTACTAAACTATAGACAATCTTTAACATCATAAAATACATAACTGGATTAAAGGCAATATTTTTTAAAAAGTTAATTCATGATGACAGTTCAACAAAAGCACAATTAGTATTTTCTCAGTTCAATTGCTTTTCTTCAGAGTTGCAGCTATGTAAACAAATTTAAGTGGAATAAGAGTGTTTGTATACAGACTTCTATATCAGGAAATTGATTTTTCTGTTTAAAATCTTTTTATCATGGGAAATTTCAACAAAGACACAATAGTAAAGACAAATATATATGTATATGTGTGTGTGTGTATTTATCTACATACTAAATTATCACATAAACATCACTCAGTTTCAACTGGTAAAACTTAAGACAACCCTGGTTCACTGATGCCCTTCCCACCCCGCTTTGAGGGGTACTTCAAAGCAGAAAACTGTATCAGAGGTACTTTAAACTAGCAAACTGTGGTCAAAAAATCATTTCACCTGTAAATGTGTATGTATTCTCAATGGAACATATCTCTAACAGATAAAAATATATAACACAATACTATTATACACAAAAAATATTAATTTCCTTTTCTGGACAGAAATAGCAAGTGTTAAGTTTTATTTCTCAGGTTTTTTCATCTTACTGACATTACTGACTTGACATAAGATTGTGAATATTTAAAATATACAACATGACATATATATACTCTGTGGAATTACTACTACAGTCAATAAATTAACACATCCATCACCTCACACACTTTTTTGGGGGGAGGAAAAAGCTCAGATCTACTCTCAGCAAGTTTTAAGTACAGAATACTGTATTATTAATAGTCACTATGTTGTACATTAGATCCTCAGAATTTAAAAATCTTGTAACAGGAAGTTTGTACCCTCTGACCACATATCCCCATTTTCCTCACACCCCACACCCTGGGAACCACCATTCTACTTCATTTCTGTGAATTCGACTTTCTATTCCTAATTGCCTTCCCGCTCACATTTTTCTAAACAATTCCATGTATAAGTGATACCATTTAGTATTTGTCCTTGCCTGGCTTATTTCACTTAGCATAAGGCCTCCAGGTTCATTTATGTAGTTACAAATGAAAGCATTTCCCCTTCTTATGACTGAGTAATATGCCAGTATATGTATGCATGCCCATGCACACAGGTACACATCACATTTCCTTTATCCACTCATTTGTCAGTGGACACTTTGGTTGTTTAAATAACTTGGCTATTGTGAACAATGCTTCAGTAAAAATGAGCGTAGTTATCTCTTTGAGATCCTGTTTTCATGTCCTTCAGACATACATCCAAAAGTGGAATTGCTGGATTTATAGTAGTTCTATTTTTAATATTCTGAGGAATCTTCATACTGTTTTCTATAATGGCTGCACCAAGTTGTATTTCCAACAGCAGTGTATAGGGTTCCCCTTTCTCCATATACCTGTTTTGTTTTTGTTTTAACTATAGTGATCATAACAGATGTGAGTTTGTGGTCTTGACTTGCATTTCCTGATGATTGTGATGTTGATACTGAGTACCTTTTTCATGGTCTTTTGGTCATTTGTGTATCTCCTTCAGAAAATGTCTATTCAAGCCCTTTGCCCATTTTTAGATTAGACCGTTTCTCAGTCACGAGTTATGTGAGTTCCTTATGTATTTTAGATATTAACCCCTAACCAGATACATGATTTACAAATATCTTCTCTCATTTCACAGGATGACTTTTCATTTTGTTGACTTGTTTCCTTTGCTGTGCAGAAGCTTTTAGTTTATTTTTGCTTTTGTTATCTGTGTGCTTTTGGTGTCATATCCAAGAAATGACTACCAAGACTCATGCCAAGAAACTTTCTCCCCAGGTTTTCTCCTAGGAGTTTTACAGTTTCAGGCCTTACATTTAAGTCTTTATTCCCTTTTGAGCTACATTTTGTTAAGTGGTGTGAATTAGGGAGTCAGCTTTTGAATGTGGATGTTCAGATTTCCCAGCATCATTTATTAATGATGATGTGTGCTCTAAGCACCTTGTCAAGGATTTGCTGCATTTATTTCTATCTATTCTGTTTGATTGGTATTAATATATGTGCTTGCTCTGACACCACTATCATGCAGTTTTGGTTGCCACAGCTTTGTAATACAGCTTAAAATCAGGAACTACGATGCCTCTACTTCATTGCTCTTTCTCAAGATTGCTTTGGCTATTCTGGGTCTTTCGTGGTTCTGTATGAATTTTCAGATTGTTCTATTTCTGTGAAAACTGCCGCTGGAATTTGAATACAGATTACACTGAATCTGTAGATCACTTTGAGTAGTACAGACATTTTAACAATATTTGTTCTTCAAATCCAAGAACATGAGAAATCTTTCTATTTATTTCTGTCTTCTTCAATTTCTTTCATTGATGTCATATAGTTATCAGTGTACAGGCCTTTCCTCTGTTTGGTCTACCTTTATTCCTAAGCATTATACTGTTTTTAATGCTACTGTAAATGGGGCTGGTGCTTAATTTCTCTTTTTAGACAGTTCGGTAGTGTATAAAACACAACCCACTTTCAATGTTAATTTGTATCTTGCAACGTCACTGAATTTGTTTATTGGTTCTAACAGATTTTTCAAGGAGTCTTTAGGGTTTTCTCTTTATAGTATCAAGTCATCTGCAGAGACAACTTTACTTTTTCCTTCCTAATTTGAATGTCTTTAATTTTTCTCATGACTAACTGCTATGGCTAGGACTTCCAGTACTTTTTTTTGGCCATGCAGCACACGGGATCTTAGTTCCCCAACCAGGGATAGAACCCATATCCTCCCACAGAGGAAGCATGGAGTTCCAACGACTAGACTCCCATGGAACTCCCCTTCCAATAATATCTTAAAAAGCAGTAGTGAAAGTGGGCATCCTATCTTGTCCCTAATCTCAAAGGAAAAACTTTCAAATTTTCACTTTTCCAACTTTTCACCATTAATTATTGTATCAGTGGTAGGTTTGGCCTTTATTATATTGAGGCATGTTCCCTCCATACAACACTTTGTACAGTCTTTATCATAAAAGGATGCTGAACTCTGTCAAATGCTTTTCCTACAACTACTGAGATGATCATATAATTTTTATCCTTCATTCTATTAATGTGGTGTACAACACTGACTTCCAAATGATGAACCATCCTTGCATCCCAGGGATAAATCCCACTTGATCACTGGATATATAATTATCTGAATGTGCTACTGATTTTAGTTTGCTAGTATTGAATAGTTCTGCATCTACATTCATCAAGGATGTTGGCTTGTAACTTTTTTTCCTTGCAGTGACTGTGTGGCTTTGTTATCAGGATGATGCTGGACTTATAAGTTTGAAAGTGTTCCCTCCTCTTCTATTTTTCAGAGGAGTTTGAGATGGATTGGTGTTAATTATTTTTCAAATAGTCAAATTCACCAGTAAAGACATCTGATCCTGGGCTTTTCATTCTTGGGGGACTTTTGATTACAATCCCCTTACTCATTAGAGGCATATTTCAATTTTGTTTCTTTTGGTAAACAGTTTTGATAGTTTGTATGTTTCCAGTATGTACCCACTTCATCTAGGCTATCTGATAAATTTGTTAATATATAATTATTGATAGTAATACCTTAAGAACCTTTGTATCTTGGCATATCAACAATCATATGTCTGATGGGTAACGTTAAAACTAGGTGGGACAGTGTGTTTCAGGCCTATCTATTCCCATTAAGCTTAATGCTGATCTTTGTCTAGATTCATCACTTCATTAAGGAGTATAAAATGGGTATAAAATGAGTATTAAAAAATATTTCTTCTAAATTTAACTAGTTGAAATTCTTCTATAGAAAACTTAACTCATCGCTATTAAGTCATCATGAAATACAATAAAAATGCTTTTCTCATTTACTAATTTTTAGAAAATGAGTTGTTCCAGCAACTTCCAAGGATAAGCAATAAACTTCGTTTTGTATTGATCTGGGTAAAAAGAGGATCATTATGAAGTCAGAGATTTTTTATAATTGGTACATTTCCACTTATTAAAGATATTATTTCTTTTTTTTGCCCACTGAACACACTTCTTCAAGTTGTCCTTCTGACATGATCTTAGTAGTCTTTGCTTTTTTGTAACGCAAAATACCCAAGGCTATTTTCATACTTTTTTGGTTCCAGATATGAGATCAGACTGCTTTCTAAGAAGCCTTGGTTCTTTTTAGTAGAGAATCTACAACAATCAAAGAATATTCACTGCTTCTAGATCACACCTATTGACTTACATCTCAGATCTTTCAGTGGTCATAGCAAACAAACAAATTTCAGAAGGAGAAAAGTAAGAATTCACACTGATACTTATGAGTCAAAGCAAAGATTACTGAGTTTTAATTTGACTGCGACTATTTTATGTCTTTTCTCTTATGCTGAAAATCATGGTTTCTAACAACAATAAAATAAATACTTATTTGCTTTATCCTATTCTATATGCAATATAGTGAAAATAACACTACTAATTTTCCTCATAACAATAAGACTGCAGAATGCAATTTAAGAGGCTCTCTGTGAATTCAATTTATCTTTAGGCTATTTCCCACTAGTGATGTACAACAAAATACTATACTTTAAAATGACCTAAAAGAAATCTTCTATAGTTGTGCCACTAGTAATTTTGTAGAACTGTTTTAATATACAAATATAAGCTAGCTTTTTAATTACGTATAAGAGTTTCTAGGTTTCAAAGTCAAAACATAAGGCAAGGCTCATTTGGTCTACCTATTCTTTTCAAATATAAATAACATGTATCTTCTTTTTCCTTAATGGTAATATGTCCTAAAAATCATTCTACAACAAAATAGAGATCTTTCTCATTCTGTTTTACAGGGTATGGCACTACACACAGTGGAATTAACATAGTTTATTCAATTAGGCTGCTACCAATAGGTATTTGGATTTCTTCTATTCTTTTATTATTAAAATATTACCACAGCAAACAGCCTTGTATATACATAATTTTGTATCTTTGGAATAGATTCTTAAATTGCTAAGGGATTGATAAGTCAAAGGTATATGTACATGTAATCTGCATAATGAATTTATAAAAGAACTTGAGAAAATTGACGTCTTTATGGTAGTGTCTTCATATCGATTAACATGCATATCTTTCTATTCATCCTGCTTTTAAAATTTTGTGGGATTTTTTTATTTTTCCTGTTTGTTTTGCGCAAGGAAACTGCATTGTAAAGTAATCCTAATCTGTCTTCAAGAAGTTCTTCCAGAAAAGCAAAAGGCACTGATACACAACTAGATTTTAATTTTAAACATGGAAAACTAAAAAATATCTTACTTTTGAAATACTTAAAACTATCTAATTTTGTTGAAAATAATATACACCAAAAATTCCAGTGATAAGTATCTATTTTTCTCTCAAAAGAGAAAAATATTGACACTGTTTTGAGAGAAAAATACAGAAGATTAATAGAATTCTCATTTAAAAAAACAGATATAAAGACTTAGAAATCTTGAGAAAATAAGATGAGTGCTTATCTGAAAGGATGAATTTGAAAAGCATTAACATGTGAATATTTCTACCACAAAGTAATCCTAAAGAATAATATTATACAAAATATTCTTTACTATCATGTTCAACAGAGCTTATTTCTTCTAAGTATCAATGACAGAAGAGAATCACTAAAATTTGTAACTTGCCAACAGTGATTACATCTGTAATTTGAATGTAACTGAATTTTTTTAAAAATCAATAAAACATGGTAATAAGATTAGCAGAGATAATAAAACATCCTTATTCAAAAGCAAGTACAATAAAATTTTTCTAAAAATTAACTTTTGTAATTGGTCATTATAATATTTTTTAAAATTTCTTTAGTACACTGTATTTGATAAGGACTGAGAATAATTCTTATTTTGAAATTTCCAGTGGGGGGGGTAAATGTGTAGAATTTTTACAAATCTAATGAGAAGTAATTTTTTCTTGCCAATTTTATCTACTATGCAGGATAAAGAAAGATAAAGATGCAAAAATATTAATCTCTAATTCAGTCAATGATAATTTGCTAGTTCCTTTATGTTAACATGACTATAATAAACAGCACTACTGGTAAAGCTTAGCCTATTTTCATTTTACTTCTAATTGCTAGAGAAGTATACAGTATTCATACTGAACTGGTACATATTCAAGAAAGTGAGAGATCAGAGTTAAAACCATTAGCAAGACTGTGATAAAAGCTCATTATAACTCCTTGCATAATACTGATTCTTGGCCTAGGGATAATAGAGGAATTCAGTCTCCTCTGTTACTTGTTATACTTATAAGCCACATGGAAGCTAAATTAAAACTAGGCAGTTAGGCAATATAAATGAGACTGATACACAAAGCACAGTAAGCCTGACAAACTAAAAAGAAATTATTTCATTCACAATGTTATTCAAGCAGTGTTTAACATTAAGTTGAAAACCTCAACAATATGAATCATCACCACACGAACAGCAGATCACAATTCAAATTTCATAACATAAAACATTTGAAATATAAGGTAAACTGTTTTTGAGAACAGATGATAACCTAAGCTCCTTTTTCAAAATAAATTATTTTTTAGACATCAATAACCCTCAAGGTTTCAATATACATATCATTAAGATATTCACTAATTACAAAATAACTACCATAAATATTAATAAAAAAGTTTTACAGGAGTACAATACCTTGGTTAGTGCAGCAGTATGATCTTCTCCACAACAAATATAAACTATTTTCTGAGTTCTTAGTGACTTTAGTAAATTAGGAACATACCTATCTGAAAATTTCAATAAGAGAACAGTTAACGAACGTATTAACAAACAGTATTTTTAAAATTAAAATTCTTCTACAATGTATTTCCTCTACAGCTTCCCAAATGGTGGAAGACAGTGATAATTAAACCATTTTAACAATTCAATACTTTTGTAGTAAAAGGCTAAGTTGGGTTGCCAAGTCTTTCTATTCTTAACTACAGTGATAAAAGAGAGGTCTAAAAAGGGGAATTTAAATCTAATCTGCCTCAGTGCCTATCTACACTCAGGAATCAAGGAATTTCAAAGCTTTTTGACTGCTTCTAATACATATACATCATTCTTTATATCTACCTCATGATAATTAAGCTCATAGCATCCTACTTTGAAGCCTAAAATTATACTTCCTGATGTTTTATAGCAGGAAAGATATAATGTCCTAATCTGACATTAGGAAATAGAAACAGGAAATAGAAAACTATTTCTAAGGCAGAACAAAATATTTTCAAATTCAAAGAGTATTATTTGTTAACATTTCCAGTTATAGATCAACAACTCACTTTTGTCTAACTCATTATAATTATGCTGAACTTTATTAAATCAGTTTTTGTATTTCAAATACTGGCATTCAACCTAATACAGCTATGAAAAATCAGTTCCCAAGATCCCAATTTAAGTAGTTATAATTTTTTTAAATTCAAAAAGCTTATTTGTAAGACATTAGCATCACCATTAACAGATTAATCAAATGACTCAGATATAAATAATTCTTTGAAATACTCAAATAGATGAATACTTCATGTTACTTTTCAGGATAATTTTACAACTTTTTTTAACTGATGGTAGCTGATAATGTGGTTACCAAAATGAAGTAATGTTTTCCTCAATTTTCCTTTAAAAACCATTCAACAAAGAAGATTTTTGTCCAGATGTACTTTCTCCATTTTATTTTAGAATAAAATAATATTTTTGGCCTTCCCACAATCTCCTAAAAATATTATCAGGTGGAATTTTTAAACTAATCTCTCCATCCCCACCTAAATCCCAAGGAAGATTTGGGTATTCTTCTGACACTAAGAATCACTAATATCTCAAAAAATCATCTCTCTTTAAAAGTATATCTATTAAAAATGCAAACCTACCATTTTCATCATTAAGACCTAGTTGACCAAATTTGTTGCGTCCCCATCCAAAGATAGCTCCAGAAAGAGTGAGTACAAAACTATGGGCTCCTCCAGCCGCTATTTGCATGAAAGGGATTCCAAGTAAAGACTTAATCAGCTGTGGTGAAGCTTGCTTTTTACAGTCAATGCCTAAACCCAATTGGCCATATTTATTCTGTCCCCAGCAGAAGACTTCACTTGCTGTAAAACGAAAATCACAAATTACTATTTTTTTCACACACAAAAAAATTCCATTTGAAAATCATCAGTTATTTGGGGACATTCTTCCTTACATTGGATGAAAATACATATTCCTCCTTACAATTATTTCTTATATGATACTATCTAGAACAATCCATATTAGTAGAGTTTTAGTTTGACTCACTTTACTAATGAATAGGGTAAGTCACATAATTGAGTGTAATCTCATTTCCTGATGTTCCTTTAGAGTTTTAGTTCAACTTACTTTACTAATGAATGGGGTAAGTCACATAACTGAGGGTAATCTCATTTCCTGATGTTCCTTAAGAAAGTACCATCTCTTATCAATATTCCTCAGGTCTCATTTTTATTCTATGATTTCTCACAAGAGGGACTCATTTAAGCTCAAGGCTTCAGTTATCAATTACATGCTGAACACCTTCAAAATTTATCACTACCCTATATCTCTTCTCTGAGCAATAAACCCATGTATCAAATAGATTATCTGACAGCTATACTTCAATATTTGAAAGATAATTCCAGTTCAGCATGCCCTAAACTCAATTCATGATCCCCTTCCTACCTCCCATACCTGGATCTCTTCCTGATGTTCCTCATTTTCAGTAAATAAGCATCTTAACTGAGTCAGCAGCACAAGTCATAAACATAAGGAGTCATCCTTCATATTCCCCTCCTCTCTTACCTTATAGATTTTTATTAATTAATCTATCACCTATCAATGAAGTCACATAGTTTTCTTTCTAAAGAAAAATATGGCTAATAGATCCACACCTACCCATTTCACCAGGTTTTTATAATACTTCTCTCTTAGTTCAGGTCAGTTCAGTCACTCAGTTGTGTCCGACTCTCTGCGACTCAATGAACCACAGCACACCAGGCTTCCCTGTCCATTACCAACTCCCGGAGTCCACCCAAAACCATGTCCATTGAGTTGGTGATGACATCCAACCATCTTAACTTCTGTCATCCCCTTCTCCTCCTGCCCTCAATCTTTCCCAGCATCAGGGTCTTTTCCAATGAGTCAGCTCTTCACATCAGGTGGCCAAAGTATTGGAGTTTCAGCTTCAACATCAGTCCTGCCAATGAACACCCAGGACTGATCTCCTTTAGGATGGACTGGTTGGATCTCCTTGCAATCTAAGGAACTCTCAAGAGTCTTCTCCAACACTACAGTTCAAAAGCATCAGTTCTTCGGTGCTCAGCTTTCTTTATAGTCCAACTCTCACATCCATACATGACCACTGGAAAAACCATAGCCTTGACTAGACAGACCTTTGTTGGCAAAGTAATGTCTCTGCTTTTTAATATGCTGTCTAGGGTGGTCATAACTTTCCTTCCAAGGAGTAAGTGTCTTTTAATTTCATGGCTGCAATCGCCATTTGCAGTGATTTTGGAGCCCCCAAAAATAAAGTCAGACACTGTTTCCCCATCTATCTGCCATGAAGTGATGAGACTGGATGCCATGATCTTAGTTTTCTGAATGTTGAGCTTTAAGCCAACTTTTTCACTCTCCTCTTTCACTTTCATCAAGAGGCTTTTTAGTTCCTCTTCACTTTCTGCCATAAGGGTGGTGTCATCTGCATATTGATAGTTATTGATATTTCTTCCGGCAATCTTGATTCCAGCTTGTGCTTCCTCCAGCCCAGCATTTCTCATGATGTACTCTGCATATAAGTTAAATAAGCAGGGTGACAATATACAGCCTTGACATACTCCTTTTCCTATTTGGAACCAGTCTGTTGGTCCAAGTCCAGTTCTAACTGCTGCTTCCTGACCTGCATACAGGTTTCTCAAGAGGCAGGTCAGGTGGTCTGGTATTCCCATCTCTTGAAGAATTTTCCACAGTTTATTGTGATCCACACAGTCAAAGGCTTTGGCGTAGGCAATAAAGCAGAAACAGATGTGTTTCTGGAACTCTCTTGCTTTTTCGATGGTCTTGCAATTTGATCTCTGGTTCCTCTCCCTTTTCTAAAACCAGCTTGAATATCTGGAAGTTCACAGTTCACGTATTGCTGAAGCCTCGCTTGGAGAATTTTGAGCATTACTCCACTAGCGTGTGAGATGAGTGCAATTGTGTGGTAGTCTGAACATTCTTTGGCAAGCCTTTCTTTGGGATTGGAATGAAAACTGACCTTTTCCAGTCCTGTGGCCACTGCTGAGTTTTCCAAATTTGCTGGCATATTGAGTGCAGCACTTTCACAGCATCATCTTTCAGGATTTGAAATAGCTCAACTGGAATTCCATCACCTCCACTAGCTTTGTTCATAGTGATGTTTCCTAAGACCCACTTGACTTCACACTCCAGGATGTCTAGCTCTAAGTGGGTGATCACACCATCGTTATTATCTGGGTCATGAAGATCTTTTCTGTACAGTTCTTCTGTGTTTTCTTGCCACCTCTTCTTAATATCTTCTGCTTCTGTTAGATCCCTACCATTTCTGTCCTTTATTGTGCCCATCTTTGCATGAAATGTTCCCTTGGTATCTCTAATTTTCTTGAAGAGATCTCTAATTCTCTCTACTTGGCCTCATTTGCTCACCCATTGCTACATTTTATTTAACAACTCTAAACATCTTTTACTTATCTTTATAAAATAAATGGCACTAATAATTGATATACTAATAAGTGATTTTTAAAAATTCATACCATAATAGTACATACTTACTAAGTTTCTCTCCAAACTGGATTACCAGTTCCTCTCCCAAAAGACAAGCACTCTTACCAACTGCTGATATGCACGTGCAAAAATACTCTATGGATATAACTAGCAGACATTTGCATATAGAGATATAAAAATGTAGATCTGATATATGGTAGACACCATAATAATGTTCTGTGTAAGTTTCAAATTCATTGTTCTATAAATTTATATGTTCATGTCTTTATTTCATAATGAAACTCAAATGAGCTGATTTTTTTAAAAAACACAGATTTGAAATGTTGCTCACCTGAGAAAAATTTGTCAGTGCCTTCTCACTGCTCTTGGGATAAACACTTTTTACGAGGCTTCTAAGGTTCTACAAAATCTACCTATGTTTCTGAGCTCATTTCACACCAATGCTTCCCTCATTTACTATACTTTGGCCATACTCACCTTCCTTCGTTATTTTCCAAAGCCTGTTTCTTACACACTTTCTGTCTCACACACTCTGCCTAAACCTTCCCCTCACCCTTGTCTAATTTACTTCTATTCTCTCCCAGCAAGTAGCCTTCCTTAATCTCCAAGATTAAGTTCAGGCCCCCTATTACGGGATCTGAGTATCCCAAACCTTTTTCTTTACAGTCTTCTTTTGTAGTATATGACTATACTGTTATCTGTATGACTGAACCGTAAGGGCTAGGCTAGTCCCTAAGGGTGACTCAGTGGTAAAGAATCCACCTACCAATGCAGGAGACAAGGCTTTGCTCCTTGGGTCAGGAAGATTCCCTGGGCAAGGAAATGACCACCCATTCCAGTTTTCTTGCCTGGGAAATCCCACGGCTAGAGCAGCTTGGTGAGCTACAGTTCACAGGGTCACAAAACAGTCGGATACAACTTAGCAACTAAACAACCACCATAAAGGCTAGTACTATATTGCTTACCACTGTGCCTAGTTCATACTGAGCGATCTGCTTCCCACCCCAAAAATTTGTTTTTCACTAAATGAATAAGACACTGCTAAAACATTAAGCTGAATAAGGCAAAAGAATACTTGTTGAGACAGAAAAACTGTCCTATCAGTAAAGCCTTCGGGTTTAAATTTATCTTGAATTTATCTACCAAAGTATCAAAAGAGAAGTTGACATGGTAACATCAAAAAATATAGGGATGCCAGCCCACCCCTCATTTTATTCCTTAAACGGAATAAATCCAAATCCATTAACATAGCATGTAAGGCCCTCTCTAACAGATTCGTTTTTACTTCAACCACTACTGATGCTCTGAAAATACCTCCCATGCTCTGAAAATACCCACGTAAAATTATATGCTGATACACAAATACACAAATACTTTCCTTCTATGCCCTCACTAGTACTATTACTATAGCCAATCCTTAACATTTCCCCCTAGCTGCTTCTCAACAGATCTCCAATTGTGAATTATATTCATCTTTCAAGACTTGCAGCAAATATGAATCCCTTCTTTATTGTTACCAATTCTATTGACAAACTACACTTTTTCCCTTATTCCCACAGTATTTTACTTTTATCTTGACCAAAAATAGTATATATTTTTTCTGCCTCAATTTATAATATTTGTACATCTGCCTCTTCTATTAGGTTACATGGTCCCTAAAACTGTCTCTTAACTTTATCAGTATTCCCCTATAGTTCTAGTCTACTGTTTCCTTCACAATAGGCCTCACAAGGCATTTAATAAGTTTAAACTAATAATAATAAAGCCACTGAAACTTACTTCTATAAATGATATAACAAATACACGGGGCTTCCTGGTGCATGTGTGCTGGCTCAGTGGTAAAGAATCTGCCTGCCAACACAGGAGACATGGGTTTGATCCCTGATCTGGGAAGACTCCACATGCCACAGAGCAACTAAGCCTGTGCGCCACAACTACTAAGCTGTGCCTTAGAGCCCAGGAGCCACAATTACACCACACCTAGAGAGTAGCCCCTGTTTGCCACACTAGAGAAAGCCTGTGCAGAGAAACAAAGTCCCAGCAAAGATAAAAATAACTAAAAATTTAAAAACTATTAAAAAAAAATTTATATGGCAGGTTCTCTACTAACTCATAATCGTTAGTGAGCACAGGAAGAAGTCGAAAGAAATAAGCAAAGGTAACAGGATTCTTAGACGACTTTCTCTGTTCCTAGTCATAAAAAGTTTATCTGTGAGATCAAATGAATTTGGGCAAGTTATAAACTTCCCCAGCTATGAAGGAATAATGTTCAGCAAGCTAAAGAACAATCAGATGCAAAAAATCAATTTCATGTCTACATTCTTGCAAAAAATGATTTGAGAATGACACCATTCAGAATAACAAAAAACATCAAACATCTATGGAAAAATCTAATGAAATGTTAAGACCTCTCCACAGAAAAGAACAAAATATTCTTGAGACAGATTAAAAGGAGATTAAAATGAATGGGGACATATCACTAGTTGCTGCTACTAAGTCACTGCAAGTCGTGTCTGACTCTGTGCGAACCCACAGACAGCAGCCCACCAGGCTCCCCCATCCCTGGGATTCTCCAGGCAATAACACTCGAGAGGGTTGCCATTTCCTTCTCCAATGTGTCAAAGTGAAGTCGCTCAGTCCTGTCTGACTCTTAGCAACCCCATGGACTGCAGCCTACCAGGCTCCTCCGTCCATGGGATTTTCCAGGCAAGAGTGATGGAATGGGTTGCTATTGCCTTCTCCAATATCACCAGTTGAAGAACTGAAAGACGCAGTATTACAAAGATTTTCCTCAATTCAATTTAGAGACAATGTGCAATCCCAAACAAAATCCCAATAGTTTAATAAGTGTCTGTGAAAACCGCCAAACTAATTCTAAAATGTATACAGAAATGAAAAGGATAAAGAAGAACCAGGGCAATTTTTAATAAGGATGAAGTTGAAGGAATTTCGTCTTTAAATAAGAAAGCTGAAAAGGCAAAAGAAAATAGAAGCAACGCTTACCTTTAGAAAGTGCAAGTGAATGATAGTAACCACAAGCAACCTGTACTATCTGGATATCCGACAAACTTTTAATATTTCTAGAAAAGAAGAGATCAGATTAGTTAATTCCATTTAATAAATGGATCCTGAATGCTATTTATGCTATTTATGACCACCTACTATGTGCAAAGAGTTTCCTTACCAGCAGTTCCTTACTAGCATAACCTAGCAGTTTATGCTTTTTTCACACAAGCCCAATTTATAAAAAATTTATGCTAAAATCAGTAAACAAAATCTAAGTATGAAAAATTAAGAGGTGTGATGAGAAAACACTTTGAAAGGACAATATTTAAGCACAGTAATCTATACTTACACTTCAGTGCTCTTGTATGTTTTTATTATCAAAATTTGAAAAAACTTAACTTGATGTACGAAACCTGGTAATATATTTCTAAGACAGATGTACATGATCTAATTTGTCGAAAATTGGTGTTTGGCCCAGTTTAGTACATGCTCTCCTCCATCAGGTTTCTTAAGAACCAGCAGGGATTCCTATCATGTGATGCTACCAATCACAAATTATGAAACCTATTCCCTCTGGACTATCCTTCTGCCTTGCATCTAAATCAATGATATTAAATGTATTTAACTCTTTACTACAGAAATTTAATTAATTCATATCTATTATGATCACTGATGTGTGAGGTCCTATTTCTGCCATCTCATGTTTCTGCCTTACATTTTTTTAGCTTCCTTTCCCCCCCAATTTCTGATTTTTCCTTAACTGTAATATAACTCTAAAGGCTAAGTGTTAAAACATCATGAAAATCAAGTAACTCTGTGCATGAATCACCCCAGGTTTTATATAGTTCACCTTCACCTGGTCATTCTGTTTTTCCTGAATTAACATTTTCAAGAAAAAAGGGGGATGGGAAAATACAGTATGTTTCTCATTTCCCTTTACCTGATACTGCCACCTGACCTGATTCTGCCATATGAGAGTCCGGAGCAAGTTCTGACCAGAGTGTCGATACCCATGATTTTCGGGAGGCAGCTTCAGCAAACCAAATTTTGAGCGGGAAAAAGGAGAGTTACTCTAATCCATATTGTTGTATTAAAAGTAATTTATTAAGTGGATTTATGTTCTTAACTAAAAACTTGAGAGTTGTACTGCTACCATTTAGCAGGATCCAACAAGTTAACAGGGTCCAACATATTTTCAGATTTTCAAATATAGCAAAAGGCTAAATGTACACTGGCAAAGCAAAAACAGGAATAAAAAATACATGGATATGTACAACTGTGAAGTTATTAAACATTTACTGTTACTGCTTATGCATATTAGGTACATCATACATTGACTAGTAAACGGTACTGAATGATTTTTAAAAAAGAACTGTTCCTGGTATCAAGCCCAATCTGCAAAACTAAGTAAAATCTTTTCAAATTCTACATTCTCACAGCACGCTGTTTTCTCCTTCACAGCATTTATCTCTATAAATTACTGGAATACTTATTCATTTAATTATTACTAGTATACTCTGCTAAACAATAAGCTCTTTAAGAGTGGAATATTATCTTCTACCCATGGAATCCCAAGCACCTACCACAGTGTCTGGCAAAACGTATGGGGAAACAAAGGTATGTCAAGTGTCCACTGTTTGAGGATAAGTGAATCTGTAACTTCTTTGAGGCTTTAGTATTAAACTATGTATAAAGTTTGCCCCCCAATTTGCACAGCAATTTACACTCAGTGACTCTCATTACCAAAATATTATCATGCAGCTTAGAATACAGAATGAATTTTTCAGTTCTGTCTGCTCAAGACAAGTGAGGATATTCTTCTGTGGCATTACTGTATTAAAGGAAAGAAATCTCTGTTTTTGTCTCTATGGAGATGTAATACTCTGAAGATGCGGGAGTGGAAGTGGGAAAGAGAAGAGGGTTTGCTTTTTTTTTTTTTTTAAGCTTTTGGGAATTTAAAAAAGAAACAAAAATACTGTGATGTATATGAATAGTAAAACAATTTTACCATGGTGCATTTTTCCTGAAGAGACAAATCAGAAAATTCTTAATGAAACAAAGTTTTACAGAATTCATCAAAAATAATCCCCAATGAGTAAAAAAGATAATGTAAATGTTTTTCAGTTTTCAATTTTTAAAAGGATTCAAATCAAGTTAATAGGAAAGTCAAAACAAAAGAAATTTTGTAAATAAAAATATATTTACACATGTATATGAAGAGTCCTAATTAATAAGAACTATGAAAAGAAAATCAAAATTTCAGATGTCTAGGGTAAATATTTTATAAATACTTATAAATTTAACTCCCTAAAGTTTAGTTCTTGTCAAACATTTTTAAATGGCCAGGACATCACTAAAATTATTCATTGTAAAGAAAATAATTATTTCTTCACTGAATTTTGAAAGATGTTTGAAATTTTAAGAAAATAGTGCATAAACTTGGAAATAAGATTTATACACCCCTCCCTTGAGAAGCCTTTAAGTCAAAACATAAGTTGTTGAGAATATGTGTACTGTTGTGTTGTTATATTTTTCCAACTTAATGCACAGTGGCAATATGGGCAGAAACCAGGCATTTCCAGTTTGTCTGTGAAGGTAAAATTCTTTAACAACCATTAACAAGAAACAGTGAAAAGTTTGAATATAATCAAGAATTTAGTATGTAATCAAGACTTTGAAGAACTAAAGCATTATATATTTTGCCAATTAGAAAATCATCAAGGTGTATACACTACAAAAATAAAGCTTTTTGTATGCCAAACGTACCTCAAGAAAGTGGTTTTAAAAATAAATTTCCCAGTAAAACATAATCAACAATTTTGTATTTCCCAATTAAGCCACAACTTTCTTATTCATCTGAGAAAAGTCGTAGCTGATTTTGAAAAATTTAGGCTAACAACTGATCTAGTCTCCCATTAAATATTCTTTAATTTTCTTTTTAATTTGAAATACTCTGCACTTTCATATGCTAATATTAGGCAGAAACTGTAACATATTTTTTGGCCATGCCATGCAACTTGCAGGATCTTAGCTCCCCTGCCAGAGATCCAACATGGCCTATAGGTGAAAGCAGAATCCTAACCACTGGACCGCCTGGTAACGCTCTGCAATATGCTTTCAAAATTGAGTTAAATCAAGAAAATCTATTCATATGTCTGAGCTTCCTCCTATCATATGTTTTATTCAAAACGTATGTGAAAGTTATAAAGCTGGCTGACATTTCTAAGCACCTAGAAAAAGATTTGGATCTAAAAAATTACTTGGTGTTGAGATTTAAAAAGAAAAAAAAAAATCACTGGTGGTCTTTCATAAAAACATACTCCTACTGTATTGAAATACTAAACTGCCCTTTAAAATATGAAGTACCAGTAAAAATTTATATATATATATGTATGTATATGTATGTGTGTGTCACAACAGATCCAAATAAGATTAGCCCACTGAAAAATTGAGAAAGTTCAACAGGAACGACGCCCTTATACACAGCTTAAAACTAACAGAGAAGTTTAAACCAAAGAATTCAATTAAGATCTTTTACAGGTCCCCATTCAGGTTCATAAAAGAGCAAAGTCACAAATAACAGGATTATTGGGCAACCTTCAAATAAACTGTCACATAATAAAATTTCCTCCTTATCTTTCTCTCTTTACAAAGCATCTATGGATTACTGTCTCTTATACCAGAACTGAACAGGAAAAAAAAAAAAGGAAAATTCAGTGGAGTGAAGAATATGGGAAACTAGACAGCCTTGCTGTGAACCATGGTTTTGAAAATAAGGACTTAGAAAATCTAACATTTAACTCTCTTTTCAATCCTAAAAACAAAAAGTTCTTAAAAATCTTAAATAAAAACACCCCATTCTACAATAATTACTTATGGAAGGAAATAAAGGCAGTAGAGAATGTGACAAATGTGAGATCACTCTGTTTCTATGAACGCTTTGCATTTTGTAGCCAATAGCCATTTGGCTGCAAATTAACATTTTCTAAAAGAAATCAAAATTGAAATGACTAAAAAAATTCAATTTACTTAGCTTAAGGAAAAAACTCTCTCTCCCAACAGCACCATCATTAAAGAGGCACTAAAAGCATAATGGGAAATGTGTTTGCTATTTAATTGTTATTACAGAAGAAACAAAAAGAGAAGAAATTTGTTTGGGGAGTTTTGCAGAATTTGATTACAGGTTAAAGAAAACACATTAATGGGACATATCCCAAAGTCTCAACAGACAGCTCATTACGAGAACAAATATAAAGCATCAAACTAAAGATGAAAAAAATCTTTTAATATGCTAAAACAAAACAAATACTTCAAATGTATACTTTAAGTTTTCCACAGACATACACACACACACATATATATATTTGATAAAAGGATATGGGCTTACTGAAGGAACTAGATACCATCTCTACTTTAAAAAAATTTAAAAAGGTCATTTCTAATGATAAGAGCTCTGTTCTGATTTTTTGTTGTTTTTGTTTTTTAGCACCATTTAACTTAAAGGATCTTAGTTCCCTGACCAGGGATTGAAACTGTGCCCTTAGCAATGAAAGCATGGAGTCCTCACTGGACTGCCAGGGAATTCCCTCCTGTTCTGAAATGTATTATTTCCTGTGCTCCAATTTCTTATCCTAGCAGTTATCTATTTCTTAAGCCAGGGCAAACATTAATAATGTTAAAAACAAAATATTTAAATGTATATATTATAAAAATGGTACCTTGAATAAATCTAAAATTAGTGTAATACCCTGGTTCCCTAGAGAGTTCTCTTTTGTCCCTATAACTATTACCAGGGGGAAAATAAAAGTTTAAGGAGACAAGAATTTGTATAATTTTAAACACTAAGAATGAGTTAGTGTATTAATTATGTACCCAAAAGAACTGGATATTCTTCTTTAAACCTTTATGTTCACGATTACAGTTTTTAATATTAAAGCAATGGTTATGCCCTATATAATTCTGTAAAACTACAATATTGATGAAGCATTGCTTATTTTTAAACTTTGAAATAATTCTATGATGAGTCAGTGGTTAGCATTAATTCTATGATGAGTCAGTGGTTAGCATAAATTAAATTGTGGTCAGTGCTATGTAAAAATGTAGCAAGTGAATTATTCTTTTTATTCTAAGCATGTGGGACTTTGACATTCAATAAAAACAATAAAGACTAAAAAAACAAGAGAAAGAAATATACAACCAACCAATATTTAATGGTTTAGTCTTAATCCACCTAATTTCAGTGAGAAAATTTCTAACAAAGAGCGCATTTTCTACCCCTTATCTTTACAAACAAACATAATCTGGGAGAAAACATGAAATACACAACAAATAGCATTCGATACAAACTAAAGGCAAGCACCCAATAAATGCCTTTAGAGCTTAGAGGGGAGAAGTGATTGTATATCAACTTTTAAATGCCCAGTAGTAAGCAGAATGATTCAGATACCAAATTTATTATAAAAGATTGTTAAAGACCCCTTTGTCGGTCACCTTTGTTACCTGGGTACTCTGATACATTCCTCTGATCCTAGCAGGCCAAGCTGTCCATCAGAATCGAGACCCCAAGCATACACCTGGCCCTTGTCATTTAGTGCTAATGTATGAGCTTCTCCACATGAAACAGCTACAATATTTTGGGCATCCAGGGCAACAACCTGCTCTACAGAAATGAGAAACAGAGACATTACATTTTAGTTTTAAATTCCTAATAAGAATAAAACTATAGTCTTCATCTTGTACAAAAAAGTTAAGGAAATGCTGAAATACAGACTGTAATTTAGTTATTCTACAAAACCTAACAAATACATTCCACACAAAATTCTCACTGTAGTAAATACAGATATACGCCACAGGGCATAATCAACTCAGATTATTAAGCAACTTGAATATTTGGGGAAGAAATTAAGGGTGTATAAAACTTTTCTTGGAAATTGCTCTTCATTCAAAACCATTACTAATAAAAGGAATCCAGCTGAAAAGGAATCATTTGAATAAACTGGCTGTTTTTTAACAATAAAATCATAACCAACATAGGTATTACCATATGGGGTACTACTATGGAGTGATTCTGAAACAAATGAAATAATCTGAATTAGCAATTTCTGATAGGAAACAAATTATTTACAGATCTCATAAATTATCTACTAGATATGCTGAGGAGAGAACTGAAAGGCAATGTAACCATAACAAACAGATTTCAGTTTATGGGCTGCTATTTTAATGTGAAAGATATAAAAACTCTACATGTGGTTAAAATATGTTCAAGTTTTAAATCAGAAATTAATTTAAAATATTGGCCCTCATAAGACTGTCAACAGCCATTGACAAATCAGTAAAGAAAATGAAATTGCTTCCTTAGTCTCTTTAAGATGTGCACTATCAGTTTTTTACTAGTACACAAGTTTTCTTAAAGACATCATTTAAAATTAACCTTTAAAAAAATTAACCTTTTTTAGCCTAACAATAAAGCTCTGTCTTCTATAAACTGAAAGTCTCTTACTGCAGAGCTGCTAAAACTGAACCAATAAGAGTTTCCTCAGAAGCATATTTTAGTTCAGTGTACAAACACAGCTGCTCAATAATAAGACAGACTACATCACAGAGGTTTGAATCCCTAAGTAACAAGAGAAATTCAAATTGCATCTGCGTTACTTATTCTGCATTTTGGGGTGGGAAGTTAGCCCTTAGACAGCCTTAAGAATTTGTATAACTCTAATGATATGTCTTTTTAAGTACTTACCTTAAAATACTATGAGTTCATAATCCATGAAGTTGATAAATAGTACGTGGAAATTCACACTATATGAATCTCTCACTTTTTTGTGTATATTTTATATATATACATGTTTTTATAAAATTATATTGCAGAAACATATGAGAACAAAACATATATAACATACTGCCCCTCCTCCCAAAAAACAAAAGGACTTAAAACTATGGTATCATTTATTTACATCAAAACACTCCCATAAATCTTAATTATGAAGAAAGTAAAATGCAAAAGATCTATTAATCTTTCACAGAGGACCCCGAAATGAACCAACGTCTCTCCAGAACAATCCTCAGAGGAGATGGAATAAAGAGCAAAAAATAAGAGAATGATAAGAAGGATGAGTAAGACTGGTTGGTTCAACAATAATATAGGTTGGTTCAACAATAATATAGGAAGAGTACTTAAATTTGATATCAATTGCTATAAAATCAAAGACACCAAAAAGCCAAGAAACAAAGAAGACACAATCATTCATGCCAAATATTAATATTTACTGTATATTTCTTGTGCTCTAAGTACTAGAGAAAGATACATAAAACAGTTCTAGTCCTCAATGAGTTTACAGTCTATAGAAAAACAAATGAGGTAAGGAGTCTTATTAAAGGCAAAGGTAAAGATATACAAAAGGCACCAGGGGAACATGAAATACTTTTAAAAGATACTAGGAAGAATTTTGGAAGACACTGACGCTAAGTTAAGTATGTGAGGAAAGAGAAAGAGATGCCATCTATCTGTTAAAGGGAAAATTCCAATTACTTCTTCAAATATAGCAAAACAAACTAAAAGCAAACTGAAATGGCTGATCTTAAAAAAGAGGGAAAACGTTGTTGATATGTCAAATAAAAAAATAACCTCCCTAATATTTAAAGACTAAACAGGAGGAGGGGGGAGCAGCAGCTCAGTGAAAAAATGGGCAAAAGATGTGAACTGATTGTCCACACAAAAAAGGAAGAGAAGTGGCTCTTAATCCTATGAAAAGATGTCAAATTCATTGATGAGAGAAATAAAAATTCAAACTACGCTGAGAAGTCAACAATATACTCACCTGGAAAATTCATAAAGCCATAAACTTTTAATTTGTATACTTCTCTATTTGATTACAAAAGTTTACACTTATCAAAAGAATGAGAAGACAAGCCACTGACTGGAGAAATTATCTGCAAAAAGACACACCTAATAAAAGACTGTCACCCGTTCCCCCAAAATACACCTATATATTAAACGTTCTTAGAACTCAAAAATAAAAAAATAAACCCAATTAAAAAATAGTGCAAAAAAAAAAAAAAATAGTGCAAATGACCTGAAATAACACCACACCAAGAAGACAAAGATGGCAAGTCATTACCTACCAACAGAGAACTGCAAATTTAAATGAGCTACCATTATAAGCCTATTAAAATGGTCAAAACCCAAAACACTGACAATACCACTGGTGAGGATATAGAGCAACAACAGCTCTCATTCACTGATGATGGACGTGTAAAATGGTACAGATATTTTGGAAGACAGTTTGGCAGTTTCTTATAAAACAAACCATACCATTATATGATCCAGCAACTGTGCTCTTTCACATTTACCCAAAGGAGCTTAAAATTTATGTCCACACAAAACCCTGCACATGGATGTTTATAGCATCTTTATTCTTTCCAAAACTTGGAAGTAACAAAAATGTCCTTCAGTAAGTGAATGGATAAACTATGGTATATCCAGACAGTGGAATATTTTTCAGCGCTGAAGAAATGAGTTATCAAGCCATAAAAACACATGGAGGAGATTTAAATGCGTATTACTAAGTGAAAGAAGCCAATCTGAAAAGACTACAAAATGTATTCTCCAACCATATGACATTCTGGAAAAGGCAAACTCTGGAGACAGTAAAAAGATTACTGGCTGCTTGGGTTTAAAGGGAGGGAGGGATGAACAGGTAAAGCAGAGGGGATTTTTAGGGTACTGAAACTATTCTGTATGATACTATTACTATTCTGTACAATACTAAGTGAGCTTCCCTGGTGGTTTAGATAGTAAAGAATCTGGCTGCAATGCAGGAGACCCAGGTTCAATCCCTCGGTCGGGAAGATCCCCTGGAAGAGGGCATGGCAACCCACTCCAGTATTCCTGCCTGGAGAATTCCATGGACAGAGGAGCCTGCTGGGCTCATTTCATTACATAGTCGTCAAACCCATCAAATGTACAACACAGACAATGTTACAGTAAACTGTGAGTGTGGATGATACGATGTGTCAATGTAGGTACTGAATGGTAAGCAACGTGCCCCTGTGTACAGTCTGTGGACAATGTGGGGGGGGAGGGGGTTTGTCTATGTGTAGTATAGAGTACATGGGGATTCTCTGTACTTACTGCTCAATTTTGCTATGAACTTAAAACTGCTCTTAAAAAGTAATTTTTTGAAAAGGCTTATTTATAAAAACACACATACACCAAGATAACATTTTTCATCTCATAAAATTCAAAAGTCAGATAACAATCTGTTGGGGGGAAAGGCACTCTTGTATACTCATAGTGGAAGTACAAAATAGAACCACCCTTATGAAAGAAAAAAAAATTGTGTCAAAACCTAGCAAAACATACACAATTACCTTTTGGTTCCAGATCTAGCTTACAGATACATCTGTGTACTAAAGGGCAGCAGAATATGCCAATTCAAAATATGCCATTTTGGCATAAGCATTATTTTGAACTGAAGGCCACTAAGAAGAAAAGCTCTCTGCTCTCTTTCGATGTGCCTAAAAGCAGGACATAAATCTGTAGAGGTGTCCTACCTTTCCTCTCTACCAGGAAGGATAGGGGTTAATCACTGAAGACAACTCTAGACCCTTATCAGCTGAGAGACAGTACCAGTACAAACTATGTAACAAACTTTACTCAATAGCCCTTATCTTAAGTTTCCCCACACATTTACCTCCCCCAAATTGCCAACCCAGAAACTCAAAAGGCCCTTTTCATCTTGTTACTTCTCTATTTATTGTTCTTTTAAAATGCTAGATAAGCCCATGTTCTACCATCCCCGTGAGTTACTCATTACTGAGTGCTAACACACGTGAACACACGGCAATACATTTATTTTGCTTTTCTCCTTGTTGATCTGTCCTTTGTCTATAGAGGACCCAGCTGGAGAATCTAGGTATACATGCATGCTACGCTGCTTCAGCTGTGTCCGAATCTTTGCAACCCTATGGACTGTAGCCTGCCAGGCTCCTCTGTCCATGCGATTCTCCAGGCAAGGTATGGATTCTTCAACTGGAGTGGATTGCCATGTCCTCCTCCAGGGGATCTTCCTGACCCAGGGATTGAAACTGAGTCTCTCATGTCTCCTACAATGGCAGGCTGGTTTCTGTTTTGTTTTTTTTTTACCATTAGCGCCACCTGGGAACCATACAAATATGCACGTGTGTGAATGTGTGTTTTTACATATATCTGCAGTACTGTATAAAATAACAAAAGACTGGAAATATTCCAAATATCCATCAATAAAGGATTCTGTCCACACATTGGGATTCTATGCTCTGAAAAATAAAGAGGAAATGCTGCAAGCTGATGTGGAAAGATCTCAAGGGTATATTATCAAGGGAGGAAAAAAATCAAGATGTGAAATAATGTACATGATTTGTTATTTTCTGTCACAGTTACCTATGTTTATTATACCTACAGGGGATGTGGATAGAGGGAAATAGGGTGGTCAAATCAATATAAGAGCAAAGCTTCTCAATGTGTACTTATATTATTTTGATTTCTGAACCACATGAATATATTCTCTATTCAAATTTGAATAATTTTAAAAATTAAACATTAAAGAAAATAATTAAAGCAATGTATCAAAACCAATGTTTTCACTAAAACTTAACTGAGCTCTTTAAGATTTCTCTACA